AAGACAGAGAAAGAATACAAGGTATAAATGTGGCAAAATGAAATGATTGTTCCCTTCAGTACATAATGAGACTGAGGGCATAATCTTGGAAATGCTTTTGTTCAAATAAATACAAGTCACATTGTGGTGAAAACATACTTTGGAATTATCTCTAGTGATATCAGGTGTGACCATTATGGAAACTTTACATTACAAAAATTACGTAAAGTTATGTAGTTTTATATCAATAGACTGCCATATTTTAAATATGTTTTCACTGATGTTTTATAGAACAAAGATAAGGAAACTGAAAACAGCAAAAAGGGAAAAATTGATATTGACAAATCAAATGATGATTCCTCAAAAGAAAATTCAACAAATGAAAGTCAGATGGGAGCAGATGAAGCAAAGAAGATAGTAGAAAGCATCACAGATTCCATTACAAATGGGGAGAAACAAGAATGTAAGTATTCATTGAATTTGTTTTACAAACTATTCGTTCAAATAATAATAATCTTGCATTCTTATAGGACTTATCTGTTTATGTCTGCCTTCTTATTGCTTCTTTAATTTCTTCTATAATACATCTATTTGAAGAGGGTTTGTAGAATATTGTGTTTTATCCCAATAATACCTTTGCAGTTATAACACCATATGTATTATAAGTACAAGTGATACATACATTTAATAATTAATTGCTCATTGTATAAAGGTTGGTTCGTAAACCTCATATGTGACAATTTATGTGTATACTATAATTGTTGGCATGGATGAGAAATATGCTAAATATTACAAAATGTTGACCATATAGGCTGTAGTTGACAGCTGTCTATTTTTGATCAACTGTATGATCCGTTGTACTGAGAAATACTTGTCTGTACCTTTGGAGCAGCAGTTGATTTTTTGACAGCTAAGACTAGTGACATGTAATTATTCTGGAGGCATGAACTCAGGAATATATTGGTTGGTAAGTACTATGTTGGGGTGATAGCCGCTCTGAGACCACAACTTCCACTTTACATTGTCTCTGTCTAAGACTGTTCCTAAATACAACTGTAAAGTTTTCATCAGAGGAATATTCTGCCATTACATCTAGGGTTAACATTGTCTCCCTCTCCCCTGCCAAAGCAAGGTTACTATACTTTTATACATTATGTGAAACTCACCATCCAGCCTGATTTGTGGATGTAGGAGTTTTGGGCTAGCAAGGTTTTACTTACTTGCAGTGGAGGAGAGCACAAAGGAGATTGTGAAGAAGGCTGCAATTGCAGTGGGATCACTGAAGGAGACTGAATTTGATGTAAGATTCAATCCAGATGTATATTCTCCCGGTGTTCAGCATGTTGATCCAGATCATAAACAACTTGAGAAACAGCGTCAGCTCGTAAAGGATGCTGCTGCCTTCCTGCTTACAGTTCAAATTCCAGCATTTGTGAGTATTTAGTTTACATTACATAACCTAACATAACATAATAACTATTACATTCAAACAGTTTTTTCTTTATTTTGTTGTTACCTAATCAGTACCTGCATTTTGTGTGATATTTGCTGTGTGTGTAGGGGAGAGTGACATTTGCAGAAAATCATTTACAGGACCATTTAACATTTTTGGTGTTTCATGACTACTGTATCATGTTTATTAAGTATACTGATATACAACTTTGTGTACACTGTAGTAACTATGAATGTTAAACCTTGAGTCACAGAAAACTACATTTAAATAAAAAAAAGTTTGTAAAAATATATGTAATAAATTGTGAGTCAGTTTTCTTATTCGTATTTGTATTCAGTTTTGTATATAAACTGCAGAAACCTGTATAAGGTTATGCTTAAGTAAAGTATTCATTCTACCATATGTAATTAATTTATGCTGAGACTGACTGCTACCATATTCAACTAAAATAATGCGTACTTTCATCTTTTCCCCATTACAGTAAATTACAGTCAGACATGGTACACATCTTGAGCTGCTTTTGTTAGTTGTTAAAATATATATATAATGGTAACAGAATTTATACATTCTTTTATTTTTAATTTCATAGATTTCTTGACAAAATGGGCTGTAAGGCCCAATTTATGAAGTTGAAGAAGAGGAATAATTTAATTTTAATTTAGTAAAGGATGGAATTGCTCACTATGGTGTGCTGCTGGAATGGTGAAGCCACGATAATGGAGCAGCTGTCATGTTCAGCACATTAATGTCACAGAGTGATGTACTCAAGGCTGTTGCTAGGTTATGTCATATTGGGGTGACTGAAGACCTTGTGCTTTGTGAGGTTTCATGCTTGGGTGTCAGGCAAAAAAAATTTGAATTTAAGTTATATTATCGTACTTCTTACTGTTGATGTACCAACTGCTGGGCCTGTGTAGCATCAGCTGAGTGTGATGATTATGAATGGTGATATGGAGGAACATTGGAGGAAGGAACAGGTGGCTGCAAGCCTCCAATTATGTTTTTGTATGAAAACAGTCAGCAAGGACAAAATCTGCCTGTCATTAGATCCTGATAACAAAGAATGACAGAAAACATTATAAAAAGGAAACTAATTTAATTTTGTCTTTTAGGTGCGAGATTGTTTGGACCACTCAGCTGCTCCAATGGATGGGGTGACGCTTTCTGAAGCACTGCACAATAGAGGCATTAATATTCGCTATCTGGGCAAGATTTCTGATTCATTATCCAAGATTAAGCAGTTGGAATATCTGTATAATATCACAGTAGCAGAAATCTTCACCCGGACATTGAAGCATGTCTTTATTGTCTACATGCAAGTGAGTATAAAAATATGTTTCACACCTTAAGTTTGGGTCTATGTATGTATGTATATATATATATATATATATAAACATCAAGTCTCAAATATTTTTTATTGATTTTATTTACCCTGTTTAACAGAGTATTGAACTGATGAGCCTGTCAGCAGCTGTCAGTCACTTCCTCAACTGTTTTCTTTCATCATGTCCAGTGCCTCATCCTCATCAGGTTGCAGACGAGGTAATAATAATTGTGTGTGTATATGTCATACAGTAAGTGATGTTGAAAAGTCTTACTTACCTACAAAATCCTTACATATGACTGAACTCTGAGTTATGAGTAAATATTGTTTTCTTTCTATGCATGTTAAAATTAGAGTTAGTTCTAAAAGAATTTTAAGAAAATTTCTCCATAATATTTTCATCAGGTCATTTGTTGTTCACATCAGAATTTGTGCAAATATGGCTTACCTATGCCTAGGTTATGAGTCAAATAACATGCTAAATATAGTGAATGGAACTGTTGCATGAGTCAGCCCCCACTCCAGAATAAGTTCAGTTATAAGTCCACAAAATCCTATAAAGTTCAATTATACTTTTATATGTGGCCCAGAAATGAAACTATATTTATATCTATAAGTTTACAGCCATTAGCTAGAAGTCATTACATTTATCATGCTGAAAAATTCAGTAGTGATAATTGCCCAAATTTATTAATTCAGCCTGTGTTAAAGTTATTTTATTGATATGGTTTGAACTTGATTCACTGTATCTGTCCAATGAGTTATTTTACTGTGGATTACATTAATAATCACTGTTGCCCTTTTTAACAGTTTTGTATGTATTTACTTATTGCAGCTTCAAAGTAAAACATCAAAGCGTCGTAGTAAACGTAAGGGCCGGACAAATCCTCTTCTGAAGGATTCAGACAGTATGGAATGGACAAACCTTACTCCCAAATTACTTTGGACTCAAATAAAGTCAGAAATGAAGAGTTACTATGACTGGGATCTTCAAGTTGATTCTCTTGAATCCATGGTAGAACAATTCTCTCTGCAAAAGATCTCTTTGCTCAGGTATATGAACAGTTCTTAGTATGTCGCTAAGTTGTAACAAGGTTCTTTAATATATTATATAATGTGAACATGTGCATGTTTTTTTTAAGCTTTATGGAATTCCTTTTTAATTTTTTGTCCTCTAATACAATGTACTTTTTAACTATTTAATATATATTAAAACCAAAAGCACCTGTTCACTGTTGTCATATTGTATTAGATAGGCATATTTTAGTCCTACTAGGCTATCATTATTATTTACTGTAAAATTTCACGAACATTGTTTGCTCACTGATCTTTGGATTCTGTAACAATGAAGATGTTTCTGCAGCAGTTAAAACATAAATAAAAATCCTTCAAGTCATTATTTTTAGTATGAGGTAAGTTATTATGCACTTCTTTCCTTTAGGTCATTTTGCATCAAGACTGGTGTTCAGATTTTGTTAAGAGAATACTCATTTGACTCCAAAAACCGACTCACATTCTTTGAGGAAGACATAATCAATATTTTTCCTGTGGTGAAGCATATAAACCCTAGGGTACGTATAAATGCATTTTCATGCATGAATGTGTGATTAAAATTGTGAACAAATTGTATGTGTACTGTATTGCTAATTATAACTGCATTGAATTATAATGTATTATGTAAAAAGTAAAGTTGTTCCACTATGAGCCATGTAGGTGCTTAAGTGGTGAGGAGGTATTGCTCCTAATGATTACAGAAAATTATACTCGAAAGGAAAATTATGGTACCTTTGGATAAATTAAAACTAGTTACAACAGGTAACCTCATTGTGGCAAGCTGACATAAATGTGTGTTGAATATGTCCACTAGTATGGCCAGTGTCCTGGAGCAGCAGATCCACGGAAGTATGCAAATAAAGTGAGCATGCAGTATATTATGGAACTGAAGTCACTATACGCCAACATACCGTGAGGCATCTGTTACCAGCCAGACATCTTTTTACTTTTTACTTGTAGTGTATGAGCCGGGATAGCTCAGTCAGTATAGTGACTAGCTACGGGTTGGACGACGGGTTCGATCCCCGACGGGGGCAGAGGATTTTTCCTCTAGCCTCTGCATCCAGAATGGCTCTGAGGCCCACCCAGCCTCCTCTACAGTGGGTACCGGGGGTCCTTTCCCGGGGGTAAAGCCGGCCAGGGCGTGATGCTGACCACTCACCCCCATCTAGTGCCGAGGTCAAGAAAGGGAGGAGCTATACCTCCTCTCACCCCAAGTGCCTGTATGGCACGTAGTGGGACAAACTGTACTTTACTTGTAGTGTAATTTTCAGTATTGTTTTTCAGGCAACAGATGCTTACAACTTCTATACTACTGGGCAGAACAAGATACAACAAGGGTATCTGAAGGAAGGCTATGAACTTATTAGTGAGGCTCTCAACTTGTTAAATAATGTATACGGTGCAATGCATCCAGAGATTGCACAGTGCTTGAGAATGTTAGCAAGGTTAAACTACATCATGGGTGACCATGCTGAGGCTATGGCTTATCAACAGAAAGCTGTTCTTATGTCAGAAAGAGTGAATGGAATTGACCATCCTTACACCATCACTGAATATGTAAGTAATTTTTAAGTCTCACTGAGTCTCTCCTCTTTTGTTAAAACCTAATAAGTCAGGTTGACAGCAACACTAAACTTGTGTCTGGGTGGTATACTTAGTTCATTGTTACTGGATAACAATGGTTTTCCTCAGGTGAATGCATGGATAGGACCATGAAACAAGCCACAATCACATACTTCCGTTCATGATGAGACTCCCATCCGTCAGTACATTAATTTACTGTGTAAACTATTTATGTTAGACATTATGTCATGTTTCCAGACACACCTGGCATTGTATTGCTTCGCCAACAACCAAGTTAGCACAGCTCTCAAGCTGCTGTATCGAGCTCGATATCTTGCACTTCTGGTCTGCGGAGAGAATCATCCAGAAATAGCATTGCTTGATGTAAGTGTGTCAGTGATTTTAGTATTCATGCCTTTTCCCACCAATTCTTAGCGTTAAGATCGTCTGAAGATTGAAACTACCAACTTAACTTTTCTCTTGACCAGTTTTACAATGCTGTTTTTAATTGATTCTGGCATGCATTTGATTTTATTTTCTCAGAATTTATATATAAAGTTATTTCAGTGATTTGAAAGTCAGTATCTCAGATGTAGGTGAATGATACCTGTTCTTCATTTATTAATATTTTACAGCTTATTTCACCCAAATAGGAGGATGTTAAACAACAATCAGCATGTTAAAGCTTTTGTCATAATATTTTCACTCAGTCTCCAGGATCTTTTTCTTTCTTTCTTGCAGAGCAATATCAGTTTAATTCTTCATGCAGTTGGAGAGTATGAACTTTCCTTACGGTTCTTAGAAAAGGCACTTGCATTGAATATTCGCTACTATGGTGCTAAATCTTTGAAAGTGGCTGTGAGTTTCCATCTTGTAGCAAGGACACAGAGTTGCATGGGTGACTTCCGTTCGGCACTCAACAATGAGAAAGAGACATATGCCATATACAGGCAGCAGGTAAGTAATGAATCATCCCTACTGCTTAGAATGAACATAACAAATCTCTATGCTCTACCATAGATCAGACAGATAAGTAGGTATTTGTAACATTTTTCACATTTTAAATCACACGGTTGTAAAACAACATGTTTGAGACAAATGGATGGATGATGAGAATTTTAAGGTAAAAAAAAGTAATCATTTATATATCCTTACAATAGAGTTAAATATATCACATTCTGCACATGTACATTTTTATTTGTCTTTGTCAAAATAAACTTTCTGATATGCTTTGATCAGATAGCTTAAAATTTCACATATGTTTAATCGTAAGTGAGTGTAGCTCAGTTTCCTTTCTGCATTTAGTTTAGTCTTACTAGTTTCTGTGTCTACTCCAGGTGACTGCCAGGATAGTACATTGAAGTAACTTCTTTCAGACTTCACCTACTCACCAATGCTGATAATTTCCCCTATATCGTGTGACATTATATAACCTGTGAAGTTAATCAGCATGATTAAACACCATGAAAATTAATAAGTAAATAATTCTGTGTACTTGTTGTGTTATTAGCATTTGTTATTTTATGTTCTATACTGCTAACATATTACCTGCAGCTAATTAAATCTTATGTTTTAAAATCTTAGATTTACAGTAGTCAAAGATTGTGTTTCAGATTGGTCCTGCAACATCACATTCATTTGGACTCAGAATATAGTCTTGCTTATCCTAGGATTTGTTTGAAATATTTTAAATTTATTATTCTGTTGGATAGCTTGGTGAATCTCATGAGAAGACACGTGAGTCATCTGATTGTTTGCGTCATCTAACATCTCAGGCTGTAGTCCTTCAGAAGAAGATGAATGAAATTTACACTGGAAAATCAAACACAGCTCTGCCACCTATCCAGATCCAACCTCCATCCATGGGGAGTGTCCTTGACATGCTGAATGTGATAAATGGCATTCTTTTTGTTCAGATAAGGTATGGTTCGGCACAGTATGACAGTTCATCAGCTGTGCTTCCAATAGCGAGTGTATTAACTAGCTGTGCCCTAAGTTCTGATTTAAAATTTAATATCTTGGTTTCAGTTATTCATTTCATAATAATCTATAGAAACATTTTGAAAATGTTAAAAAATGTGAATTAGGTAGATATATAAATCTCTCAGTCCAAAGTTGTAACCTCTTGTAACTTTCTTTCTTTTTATAATTTTTCAGCCAGCAAGATATCGAGAACTTCAAAGCTGAAATTGAGAAACGGCAGTTGAAGGATACATCTCCAGCCTCATCAGAAGAAAAGACTGACATTGAGTTATGCACCACTAGTGAAATGAAGAAAGCTGCTGAAGAATCCAGTTGAATACATGAAGATACTGTGTTCTAGTACATGACAATGTTCGCATGTAGTTGTAGGGGTCCAATAGGCTGTCAAATATGTGGAATACCTTGTTGAGCATATATGTGTATGTATGTGTGTGTATATTTATATTTACACATCTTCATAAATATATGAAACAAGCATACAAGAACTGAAATTATTATAATCATCTTGCATTTTCAAGAGGTTTTATTTTATAAGCTGCCTCAATTTGTGCTATGGGTTTGTTGACTGTGACACAAAATAAAGACTGTATTTGTTAGGTTGATGAAAACGTGATATATTATTATAACACTGCATCTCAGTTTTTTGAGCCTTTTATATGTTTTGAACTATATGGATTTTCTGTCACTTTTCTTTTCATAGGTACATGCCTAAATGCCTGAACTAAATTAAGCATATTTTTTTTATTTTGGTTACTATCTAAAACTCTCCATACACAATAAATTTTGTAACATCAGGAGAAACATCAGGGACAGTCACCTTCAGATTAAATGCCTCAGAAATGCAATTAAGGAAAGAATGCAGTAAAAATAATCATTCTATAGTATTTGAAGTGTTAAAGATTGTGGAATTGTAATGTCTTCTCATATGTGGCAATATTAGCATTTTATAAGCTATGCTATTAAATGAAAATCATGCTTGTTTGTGTTATGGTACCCCTTGTTTTCCCCAAAATTTGCTGTTATGTTGGAAAATGTTAGAAAAATGATAATGTAACTATGGGCCTGAAACTGAAAAGTACAGAACTTTTTACTTTCCTTATAAAATCGCTATCTCAGACCCAACATTGTTATGTGTTTATAAAGTTTCTAAGTATAACAGTTGTTCCTTTCATCACAACAGTCACCACACAGTTGGTGAAGCAATAATTTTTGTGTTCCTGTTTCCTTGTTATTGTTTTTGTTAAAATAACTTTTCATAATTCTCTTATAGCAAATTTCTATGTTGGTGTTGAAAGCTATTAAGTGGTTGGTTTTCATTTAATTAATATTTTAAATCTTATTGTAAGCCAAAGAGGTGTGTCATTGCATATGCATTGAAGACAGGTTGTTCTTCCTAAATTAACTATGCGAATATTAGTAAGTGATGGACTATTGAGTAGCTAGATAGATACCTGATTTGATTTTTTTGATAGACTGTAGATTTCCAGTCACAAAAAATCTAGTTTTATAGTTCTTTTGAATGTTTCTTAGTGTCTGAAGTTTTGACATCAGTATAGTATTTTTGTAAGTATAGTACAGATGTATTTTTCCGTTGATAGAATGAACTGAATCTGTTTTAGTCGACATTCCACAAATAGTCAAAACATGAACACATATATACATATGAAACTGAATATAGAATAAGCTGTGTCTGCACAGGAAGTACTGTAATAATTTGAAATTACATGCAAAATTTGCATTTTACCCTGGTCTGTCTTGTAATTATAAAAATTAGTGCCATGTAGCTAAATTGTAATAAAATCAGATTTAAGGTTCAGGAAGTTTTGAGTTACTACACAGTTCATTGACAGTATCATGCATAGTGTGGTAGGTTCTAGTTACTCTGCGAGATGTTGCAGGTGTAAATATTGCCATTTTACCGTATATACGTGGTAAAATATTAAAAGTCTTTGCTTAGTAACATTTGCAGCTTGGATGAACCTAATCTGTTTGCACATATTGATGTGCACCCACTACATAAAAAGTGGTTTCAAATGTACAGCACAAAATAGATCTAGAATTGTATTTTTAATTACATTTTGATGTGATTTCCTTCAGATTTTTTCTTGTAGCCATACTTTCATATTTTAGTATAAGTTTGCAGGTGAAATATTAGTTGCTTATGAATTCAGTTATGGACTATTTTTGGATGTCGTGCCACTGTAATTTTAGGATAGTGTTAACATGGTTATTAAATTGTTGAATCGAAGTGAAACATAGCTGTATGGTAGTGATTATAAATAATATAATGCTAAGATAGGATACAGTTGTTTCATTGCTTTCATACTGATTGCAAAAGCCAGTTCTATATTAAAGTAACAGTTGGATGTGGTAATAGGAAGTGGAAGCTACTACCTACTACTGTGAGGTTCCTCTCAGTTTTGAAGCCTACAGTAGATGTAGTTTTCTATGTTGTGTAAAAATGTTCCATAAAGGACTTGTAGATGGTTTTGAATTCATTGAAACAAATGTTTGAAAAGTTCTTTGAAGTACTGGTTGCCAGGTGCCTTGCCAAACGCTGACCTCACGTATTCACATCCAAATATCACCATTTACAGAATGGAAACAGTGTGCTGAATCAAAAGGCTATTCACTTGTTCATGGTTTAGTATGTATGTATACTTCTATATAATGCACCAGAACAGATCTTTGTGCTAACTCTCAGCAGTGGTTGGTTACTGGCCATGGTGTAAATTTCCAAGCTCAAGGAAATGTTATGAATGTTCCAGAGGATTATGTAATTATGTTTTGAATGCCTGTGAACATTTATGTTTAACTGTTCTTAAGTGTCTTATGTGAAACATGTTAAAATCAGTGAGGGGACTGATTTTGAAGATGAAGCCTTAAAAGGAAAGGCTGTTAATGAGATACTAAACAAATGCTTACACTGACCAGGCCTAATAACACGCACATGTGGAGGCTGATGGTGTAGAATGTAGAAGTAAACTCTTTCAATTATGTGAACATTTCAGTTTTTGGTAGAGAGATGGTATATATGTTGTTGGTTTTCTGTTTTGAAGAGCCTCTTCAGGTGTTCTTCCTTCTCCTCGTCTGTCACGAAGATTTCAAAATGTGTGAAAAATTCTTCTCTGAATGTCTTTGACAGTGATGTTATATTACTACTGTTCTTTTAAAAAGCCTTAATAAATCTTCAAAACCTAAAAGATCAGTGTTACAAAAGATGGATCTTCGTTCATCTTCAGATAAAATAGAAAAGACACCTATTCTGTTTGATCCAATAGATCACAGATTGGGAACAGCTGGGTCTACTGGATCCAACAGAATTGATGTCTCCACTTTTTTTATCTGAAAGTGAAGAAATAGCTATCATTGAAAATATTGTGAAGTTTTAAGGTGTTATCATTTTGAGGCTTAAAAACACTATGAACAGAGTCCAAAACTGAAAGTAGTTAATGTGTGAAAACTTATTTTTTCATAACACTTAGCATCACAATATACTGTGCTAGTATTTACTGTAATTTGTTAATTAGAGGCACAAAAATAAATATCACTAGTCAGACTAAGGGTCAGCAGGTCAGATATTTTATCAGCTATAAATTTTCATAATGAAAATATTGTAGCACTTCATCCTTACTGAAAAATGGCATGATCAGCATTCAATTTTATGTGCTATTTTTCCATTGCTGTTTCCTGTAGTCCATGCCTTAGAAAATACTCTATATCTTACCTCATAGAAGTCTTTACCTTGGCATGATATATAAAGGTCAGTGTTTGTTGATTTTTATTTATGACATGTCCATTGACAAAGCAGATATCTGGCAACCTGTAATATATATCAATATTTCTATCATTTTGTTTTGAATAATTTGTAAGTGTGGAACATGTGATGCATATCTGTCATGATTGTAGTTGTGATATGTTAAATATTGGAATTAATCTGTAGTGACTAACAATGCACATAGAATTTTGTGATTCTTCCTCATGATATGGTTTTAAAAACCAAGTCACTCAGAACAATGGTGCTATTCTCACGCATTACATTCTGTGAAAGAGGGAAAATGAGTAAACACTTTACAAAACAAAAGCTTAATGTGTGGATGAAATAATTGAGTCGTAAGAAAACTGAAAGTATGTTTAAAAAGTTTTTGATGTTGCAGAGTTTTCATTAATTGTTATGGTATCTTATGTTAATTTTTTGAAATGGTAACTAATATGTTTTGTTAAACTAGTCCCTCATTGTTGCACTTGTTAAACATTGTTATGTCATAAAGAAAGGTCTTTGTGGCTCATGTGGTACACAGTTCATGAAGTTCAGCCATTATCAGTACCATTGCCTGATGGAAGCTGGCTGCTTCAACTGTTATTATTAACTGCTGTACTATGTTGTGTTTCTCTGATGATTCAGGTTAGATGTGGTGTGATGAGTGAATCTCAGCAGCATCATCCACTACGCTTACATAGTAATTCCTTTGTAGTCTCATTTAGTATTGTGGTGCAAGAGTAGACGAACATGGCAAGCTGACAATAGCTGCATCATGTGGTATCCAGAAAGACACTGATGCCAGTATTGTTGTTTTGTTAGAGGTCATGTCCACAGTTGAGATACTTAATGAATAAAAATACTAGTTATACTTTATCTTCTGTGTGTCTACGTGATAACTTATTTGTTATAGTGAAACAGATGTGGATGAATTGCAGGATCAGTATTCCTTTTACACATAACCCAGACTTGCAGTAGAATGTCAGTACAGTTTTGGTCCTTTCACACATGCTACAAAACTAACTCCACAGTCTATTCAAGATTTTCTGTTGCTGATATTTTATTAATCTATTGTCCTTGTTACTGGTTTCTTGTTTGCTACGTATGTTCCATGTTCACTGCTACATAAGGATGAAGGAATGTGTATAGCCCCATTTATCCTCTTGTATTATGTGTGCATAATCACTGCTTTTGATTTAGAGTTACATGTCAGTAGAATTCTGATGCTTGTAATCACATGGGGACAGAGGGAAAAGAAAGGAACCTGGCTTTAACCCTGGAATGTGTTAGTGCAGATGTTCAAGATGTATGGCCTGTGGACTACCAGTGGCCCATGAGCTTCATTCAGGTGGCCTGCACAATGACAATAAAAAAATATAAAAAACAAACACGTAATTCAGAAGTGCCAAGATATGTATGGAATAAATTAAGTATAGTACCAGTCTTATTCTGATCTTTAGTGTCTAGACCACAGTGCATTACATTTGTTCAAACAGGGAGAAAAATCATTACGTGGTCCATCAAAATCCTTAGCAATTTTCATGTGGCCTTAAAAAAGTCATTGCCATGTTGCATGCAAAATATAATATATTCAGTTGTTACTTTCATAAGAAGAATGATGTTATTCTGTTACTGCACAGTGAAGGAGTTAGTTGTTTATAGTGAAATTCCAATCATAAAATGTATCACTTTGTTACTTTTCTGTTATTATATAATGTAAAGAGCTTATCCCTTTTGTAGCAATAGTCTGCCACGGAATCCATTGCCAAACCTTTATTATCAATCTGAGTCGTCTGTTTCCTATCAAAATTGTGTATATGTATTCTTCAAGAGTATCTAAAGTGCTTGACACATCTTTTATTTATTTAATCCTTCAGTTATGAGCAGTTGGGGTTGTTTTCCTACAAAGGAGTTCAGTGTAGTTACATTTATTCTTCTGGTAGACAAAGTAATACATAACTTACTAGATTGAATGAAAGTTCTATGAGTAAAAATGCCTTAATTCCTCTTTTCTAAATTATCCAAGCCCTCTTCTCTGAATCTAACAGGTGTACCCAGTGTTGCTCTGTTTTTATATATAGTATAGCAAACTAGTGCTTATTTGTCTATGCTGTCATAGAGAGTGTTGATAAGAGAATGCATAATGTTGCTTCTGTAAAGGGTACAATTGGAGAAGTGCTTAGAGCCATAGTTCAGGTGTATGTTGCAATGTTGCTATTATAACAGGAACAGGCATCTATTTCTAAAGTTGGACATGACACACAGATAAGTATCTCGTTCACAGAATAAGAGCATTTATTTACAATTTTACAGAAGAATGTAACAGGTGGCTGAATTTTAAACATGTACATCATTCAATTTTTAGATTATTTTTAATGTACTGCATTATCTGATGAACAGCATCAAGGCCACAGGTGCCTTCTATCAATGCCATTTCAATGTGAATCTCGGGACCTGATTTTCTTACAGAAACCACTGATTTCAAAATACAAGAATCTGTTTTTGTTTCAGTTTGATATCTCTTCTGTGAACAGTGTGGTGAACTGAGATCACACTCTTCATTTTTACTGACAGAATCTTGTGTAATTTCAGCATTTCTTTTATCATTCTTATTTCCTTCGGAACTTTCCCTGTTGTCATTAATTTCAGGGTTCTGTGATTTTCTTGAACTTACAGACTTCACAGAGTATGAATATAATTCTGAATGACTTGTTGATTGGAGATTGCCTTCATAGGGAAATTCTGATTCATGGGCTTGGTCCATACAGTTCAGCAAATCATCTCTCTCTTGCAGCCTTTCTTGCTCTTCACCCTTTGATATTTTTTTATTGTTTTCACATACTGAGTTGTCATGTTTTCGTTTCATTGACTTCATGTCAGTTTGTAACTGTGGCTGAACTGCTGATGTAGGTGAACCTTCAATTGCAAACCTACTCTCTTTCAAGGTACTAACTGTTTCAGTTGAGATATTACACCCTTCTTTCTTGGGAGAAACAGCTGTTTCACACAAATTATCTTCTTCCGAAACCAGCTGTGTCTCATACTTTTTCTGTTCTCGTCGCTTTCGACGTTGGTGAGTCCATGTGTTTCTTTGTGCTGTAACTTCAAATAGTGATGTGTGTTTACTCCTTTTCAGTTCCTTGTATTCAATCTGCAAACAATGTTTATTATATTCTTAGTTTATTTAATGACAAAGGTTTCTTGACCACCTGAATGGCTATTAGTTTTTCAAGGACTCTGCTTCATGGAGTTAATTAATTTCACAAAGAAACATGAAGATACATGCTCTGTTCTATGGAATACAGTAAATATGCAACTAGCAGTGTAACAAATTAAATGTCTGTACCTGTAGCTGTGAGAAAAGCATCTTTAATTTGCCAGTTACTGTATTAACAGTATAGCAAAGAGCATTGCCAAGCATAGGAACAACATATTTCATTGGAGGCTTTTCTTTTTTCTTGCTTTTTGGTAACACTTCAAAGTTCAGTTCAGAGAGAAATGTCCATGCGAATCCCCATCGGGTTGTGTGTCCTTGACAGAACTCGGTCTGGGCGCTGCTTGCTACCCCAGCTTTCTCTAATTCAGACTTCAAAGCATTCAGACTTGATTTGTGTCCTACCATAGTACTGTAAATCCTGTGTAAATAAAATAATGATTAGTGCTACAGTATGTAAGGTCCAATCTAAACATTCTTTACTACATGTGTTTTGGGATGCATAGGAAGCCATGGAAATTATTTCCACTTCACACTGTTTATTCTATAAGAAGCTGTAGTTATACTAGCAGCCTTTTTTTAAAGAAAAATCATGAAGTAAACAATTTATACTCTTATAAAGATAGAGTTATATTCAACCAACTTAGGCTAAAATTAAATTTTGCTTGCAAAGTCATGAAAATATCCTGTCCCCCAATATCATAAATACTAAATTGCATTGAAATCCATTCAGTAATTTTTAAAATTAAGTAAATGGTCAGGCACCACCTTCCTGTTATGCAATAATGCAAAAAGATAATACACAGAAACATACTTCACCATATTCCTCATTTCTACACTTTCTTGTATCATTTGCCGTATGAATGCCAGCTCTCCACCCTGTACCACTACTTCACTCAAAGATCCAGTCTTCCCATTACGAGGAAGTGTTCGTGAATTAGATCGAGATTTGCTACTGGAATCTGCTTCTGTTTCACTTCTGAAGAATGGTGGATTGCACATTGTGAAGTCATATGTATGGTCCATATCCAAGGCACCCTTAAGAATTGTACCAGCATCAACTTGTTTTACTGTAATATTTGTACAAACAACACACTTAAGGTAAACCAATGAATGCATTCCTCTCAAGATGTCTGTTGTCAAAAAATGGTAAATATTAATGTTCAACCTGTATTATTTGTATCTTAGGAGTAAAAAAGACATTACTGAAGAAAGTAATGAGTGTTGAGGATGGAAATACTAAAAAGGCCATGGGAGGCTATGAAGCTTGAAAAGAAGGTAAGCTAACCAAATTTCAATTCTCTCTTCAGTTGGATGTAAGTTACCTAACCACAAACTTGAACTTATACTAACCAGTTATAAAGTCTTCGAGGCCATTCCTTGCTACATTTTTCCTTGCCCAATTAACACTCTCACAATCCAACTCTGTTGCCAGCATTTGCCATTTATTTGCTGTGGAAGCTAGAAGTGGGTAAACACAGGATGCACCACACCCTGTTAAAAATGTAAAAATATATATTCAGAACTTAAAAGAGTATGGTATTAAAAATGCAATTTTGTATCATAAGTACTTTTAATTGTAATTAATGAATATGGGATAAATATTTCATATTGTGGATAGTGAGCAAGTGTCAAAATTTGTATTATCTTAAGTGAAAATTGTCCTCTCCTGCTCATAATAGAGTACTGAAGTATATACAAGTTTAACAGACTTGGACCAGATGACAAAAGGTTTATGAACTGAGCATTAACATGACAATATCCTAAATTTATCAAGGAATTTCAATGTTAAAAGTTTATCAACCTACAATGATATAGGTGTCACAACCCAGTAGAACAACACCTGTCACCCTCATTACCATGAGAACCTTGAATAATCAACCTGTAGTTTCTTTGAAATTCAATTTGCACAAAAAAGAGTACAAAGCATGTAAATAATAGATTTATCCTACAATTAGGCCAGTGGAAAATTTTCTTCTGAAACCCTTTTAGATTTTCAATATAAAATCAGGAGCCAATAGTTATTACCTATATCAACACCTTTTATTTGTCCTTCCCTGAGGTTGACTGAGAAGTGCATCAAATCTTCTATCCATAGTAAATAATTCAGGCGTAAGGGAAGAGTTGGTATCAGGCGGTTTAAGGGTATTTCTACATGCAGTCCAAAATCCTTCTGAAGCAAAGTTGTAGTTAAGGACCGGAGAGCTTCTTGATTCTTGAAATCAATGGTCACCTTTCCTGTAATGCCCTAAAAGAAATAGTATGTGCTCACAGTATGGTGACTAGGTGCGTAAATTAGACTCATTTGTTTTAGGGCTTCTAACCTTACAGACAACCCAATTTCATTGACAGGTTATGGGGATTTAACTTGTTATAATAGTTTATGTTGCATCTTGTACCGATATGAACCTCAAATTCAGCAACATACGTTGTCACCAATATTTTAATTTTCATTCAACTAAATTACTTTTCAATATCTCTGGTAATGAATTATACAGTATTTCGTATTATCATCAAATTACCTGTTTTGCAAACTTCCGAAATTCAGGATAAGAAATGGCTAATTGTTTGAAGTCTGGTGGATTCTTGTAAATATTTCGAGGATGCATATATTTATTCTGTGACATACTGCATCTAATTAGACGAAAAGAATCACAGTCATTAATACAGAAATCTGTTTGGTTATGTTACTTTTACACATGAAAAACAATCCTAAAACATGTGATATTAATATGTAATGGTTGTTTTTCCTTTTCCGGTTCATCATAGTCTCTCGAAGTGCGAGAAATTCCCGCAGTTTGTGCAAACGTTCGTGGATGGAAGTTGTGTTTGTGAGTGAGGTAGGTGTAGTGACTTGTAATACCTTTGCGACTTTATTATTTTCGGTAAGTTGTTAACAGCTATGCAAGTTTGTTATGTACTTATTTAATGGGGAATAAGTTTTGCCATGCCAATATATTATTTAAACCTTAAATATATGATCGAAAGTAATGGAGAAACCGTCAAAGTGCTTCATCAAAATGGCCGCTTTATTGAACAGAATAGAACAATTATTTACATTCCACACATTCTTCTTAGGCCTAAGCCAAGGATGTAGAACATTTCATAGTACTAGTGCAATACTTGTTTCTAATATAAATTGCATGGGTGTGACAGTGATTTACAGTCAACTATAGTATTGCAGCAAAAGTAATTACACAAGAAAGCACCACCACTATCCCTTACATGTATTTATAATAACTGAGAATTATTGAGCTGATGTAAATTCTTCTATGGAGTAGAAGGAGTGACATACGTAATACTCCGTAATTCCAAATGATTTTATACCTTGCTTGTTGATATTTAGTTGGAAAGAAGATATATATCCCTAGTGACTATGATTAGAATAGAATTTATTTACATTCCATAGATCCTTCATAGGCCTAAGCCAAGGATGTAGAACAGGTCATAGCACAAATACAATACTTGTTTCTAGTACAAATATAAATACATAGTTATAACAGCTATTTACAAATTTTTAGAACTACAGTATTACAGCAAAATAATTATGATGAGAAACCAACACTATTATTATTTACATGTATTTGTAATAGTGGAGATTTTTCGGGTGATATAAATTCTTTACCTAGTAGAAGGAGTGAGATAGGAGATACTCTTTTTAACGCTGATTTAAACTTTTGATAGTAGGTGGAAGATTATTGAATAACTTAATTCCAGTATAGTAGACTCCTTTTTGATATTTACAGAGGTTAGAATTTGGCACATGAAGGTTGTATCTGTATCTGTTCTTATATTGTGGATATCTGAATGTGTTTGGAATTTTTCCTTGTGTAAATTATTATGATTTTTTATAAGTATTGGTTATTTTAAGTCTCCAAGTAGAAAAGTTGGCGATACTACACAATAATTAATGTGTAAGAAGTATATTAAATACATGGAACAACATTTTTATATATGTGTTGTTTGACTAGATATATATTCTTCTTTGTGGGGTTTATTACATCCTTTTAAAATTCTTGTAAGTCAAATATCTGTAAACATGGAGGAGCAGGATATTATTGCAGGTGTTTCTAGTGTCCTGCCAGTACTGCAACAGCAAATATTACTGTGTGTGTTATAAATTGGATAAATGTTAGAATACAGATGCTGGAATGTGCATCATAGCAGTCATAGTGTTCGTTACATAGACCAACAATTTAGAGTTCCATGATGCAAACAGTAAAGTTTAGAAGTAAATTAGTTGCTGATGCTAGATATTTATGCTTTTAGTTTTTAATAATACATGTAAATGCATATTTGATATTATGAGAAATGAAATCCACCAAAAGGAGTGTTAAAATTAACAATAATTTACTGTCATACAAGCTTGATTTTTATCCAGGAATTTAGTAAAATATGAATTGGGGTCTGTGATTAATCGTATGTTAGTTGACTGGAATCATATTCTTCAAGATACATGACAAATCTTAATGATTACTTCAGGAGCAAGAGCAAGACTGTAAACATATGGTAGTGTTGATCAGTTCAGGGCTATTTATTAATTGTGGTATTGAAGAACATTAATATTAGTTGCTTTGTAGATATTTATTTTTTCCAAATTTAAAGGTCTCAGTGTATGGTGTCTGTTGTCTAAAAATTATCTTTAAGCAATACAGAGTGAAAAACTGAAACTGAATGGTAGGAACAATTTATGGTAGTAATCAAATTTATTGGGTGATGATATAAGTACAACAAAGAGGAACACAGAAGTTTTACTAGAGGCTAGTAGACAGGTGGGGCTAGAAGTAAATTCAGAAAAACTGAGTACATGTTAGTATCTTGTCAGCCTAGTCAGCCTTAGATATCCTCCAATCTAAGGCTTTACCTCTCATGTGAAGTTGGATATATCCACTAAGAAAGGTTAATTGAGCATATGATGTGTGTTTATCAGCATTAACAGCCACGTGCCTTCTCATCCCACCCTCTCCCACAGTAATTGGTCTTGGATGTTGCTTAGTCTTATTCACCAAAATTCATTTCTAAAGGACACTTCTAAACGTCAGTCCCTATAGCTATGTGAAAAAACAAATTAATATGAATAATGGAGTATGCATTCATACTGTAAGTGTTACGACTTTACAGTAGATCTTTTATTGTTTGATTTTTAACATATTTGCAGTTGCCTTCAGATAGTCTGCTGAAAGTGAGTTAGATTGGCTGTCAGACTCTGTACATCAATGTGCTTGTATCATCTACAAAATATAATGTGTCTCACTTAACATGGAACCTGCCATGACAGCGACCAAGTTGCTAGGAACTGAGTTTGTCATAATGCAGAACATAGCTGTCATGTGGTAGTGGGTGGGTTTTAAGTGTAGTGAGATTTGGTGTGTTGCCAAGGTTTTTTGGTAATGCAGATACTGTGCCACAGATTTTTCCCATATCAGTATGTTTATTATTCATTGTATTTTTTTGACGTAAATACGTCTATATTTTCGGGTCAGTGTCATTCGGCAAAAAGTGGAACGAAAAAGTGTAACTGCATTGTTATGTTACCTAGCAAACGTCAATTGTTTACTCGGGATTATTGTTACCAAGGAAACGTCATCTGTTTACTTAGCATTGTTGTTACCTATAAAACATTTCATTACCTTACCTTACCTTACCTTACATTACATTACATTACATTTCATTACATTACTTTACATTACATTCAGCTACCACAGACCCATCTTAAGCGTAACTAATTCAAGTTGAATAAGCAAAGTCTTAATCAAACTTTACTCAATTGTAAAGCATGTATAAAGGAAATATTTAGAATAAAGCCAATATATAAACTTCCTTTCCGTATAGACGTATTTACGTCTAATTCTCCGGAACCGTGGTTCCACTATCACTTTTTTTATATCATATTGTAAAGAAGCTATGCTGTGACTTTTTGGGAAATAAGATTGTAACATTAATTTTCCTGTAACAGAATTAACTGACGTAGGGAGCGGTGTTTGTGTTTCTGTGATGTTGTTCAGTTTGTGTCTGCAGAAAGCCTCCGAATGTCAAGTGCCATGACAAAGGTTAAATTCTGACCTTAAATGTTGTGAAAACATAAACGGAGACATGTTACAAGGTATCTTTCGCCACGTTAGATATTTATCTGTAGTCCCGTGAAGAAAGCTGATAAGTAGGTCTCTTTTAAGTTCTCGTGCTGTCGATTGAAATACTAACCTTTATAACATTGTAGGTAGAGAGAACAGATCTTCCCTGGTTTTGCCCGGGGGAGAGAAAATACGACTAATGTTCTTAACTTTCTTCCTAATGTGAAACGATTGTAATAACTTCTGTTTACTCGATAATGATATGGAGTACGTAATTCATGTTCACAGTCCTGCTTGTCACGTGGCAAGAGGACAGTCAAGAGTAAATGCAGATGATACGACGGTATGTGGAGAAATAAAACCAACCGGGTAACAGAAATGGCCCAACGAGCCATTCGCAGTATTTATTTGCCCCGTGCTTTGGCTGTGTGACGTAAAAGCATTGGAGGATCTTAAAGAGCTGCTCACTCGTTCTCTGACCTTCACGTTCCAGCCGTCTTTTCGAGCATCTCTCCTTCAACTCGAATGTTTCGTTTTGGATTATTTTGTCTCAGCCTACTGATCTGCCATGATGGCAGCCACACTCAGATTCTGTTGAAACTGAAACTATATATTTATAAAAGTATTTCTTAGAACGAAATTGTATCTTGATATAATTAACTCTGATGTCTCGCCGCATTACGAAGAGTGACGTAAAAATTATGCCAACCAGATTCTGAACCTTAAACAGGGATTAAATTTTTATATAAGAAGTCGACGAAGATGTCGTAGATAGGCAGTCAATAAAATCGAACTCGGAAATTGAACACAGTGTTGGTTTAATTAGCTGAAGAACTAAAAATCCGGATGCTGGTGTTTTATTTATGTGTGTTTATAGTTTTGTTTTTATGTTAGTGTGAAACGAAGATAGCTAGAATTGGGAACCTTCTGATTCAACAGTAATCGAAATGTAGCATTTGAGGTTCTTGGCAGGCCAGAAAAGAAAAATTGTCCGGACACTGAACAGTTCCTACGATGTCCGAGGGGAATTTTTACATTCTTGCGAAATAAATTGTTATTGTACGCAAGATGAGATGAATGCCATTACCGTATTTACACAGAAATGTACGCGGTCGTTTCTGGATCCTCGAAATACGTTTACATTACGTTCGAGGTTTTGTTTGTCCACTTGTTTACATTTCGTTATCTCTTAAAACGTCGGGCACTTCAGTTCGTACGTCATATACTTTCCCTTGCACCATTTTTTTTTGCCAAATAATTGCGGACGTAGTGTACCTACGTATCGTATGCTATAAGAACTGATTCACGATGAGATTCGGGTACACACTGCGGCGAGTGTGAGGTGCTTACTTCTCCATCATCAGGGCAGTAAGCTCCTCTGAAACGTCGGCAAGTTTATACCAGACTACACGGCGCACCATTCGAGGAGACAATCTTCCTCTTGTTTGATTGCACTCCGGTGTTTTCGTAACGTTATGGAGACTGCCTTCAGTTTAATTAAGATCGCAGGATTGTGGGTACGTGAGATTTGTTGTTGTTAACAGAGGTTCTACAGAGAATGAAAATGTTAAACTGTTTCTGATAAATAAGCGAAAGTAATTGGTAGCTGCTTGGTGAAATCATTTTGCTTTCGTGGTAGCTTATTTTCGCTTGTTGGCCTAGTGACCTTGTTGGTTGATTTTTGTAACTGGTATCCCGTTCTGTGACTGTTATTATTTGTTGTTTTTGTTCATTTAACGAGCTAAACAGATTTTAGCCGTTGGGGTGCA